ACACATAAAAGAAACTAGACTAATATCACAAAATGTACACATAAAAATACTTTTGAATATGTACATATATCATAACTTTATGATAGAAGACGCCAATTTATTTATATTAAAACCATATGTTAAATAAATTTACCTTCCTATCTATAATGATAAAACTCACCAAAACTATATTCCGATGCATAATTGCCTGTGGGCTAAATTATGATCATAGTTTGGTGTTTTTACCCTAATTAATTATATAAACATAACAAAATTGCCTGTGGGCTAAATTTTATTATATCATATAATTAATCACAATCAATACGTCTACTGTATGTGATCTCACAAAATTTCAATTAATCAAAGATACCGTGGCTATTACTTAATTAATCAAAATTATAAGATCACTAGACTATTTTCTTAATATCTTAGGCATCAACTTTAAAGGCTAAAAACAATTATGCAACAATATGATAAACAATTCCAAGTTTACTCCCAGGAAAGTTGGTTGGGACGGAGCCTCATTAAAAATAACCAACTCCTTAGACAGAGTAATGTTTCAAGGGAACTAGTAGCACATTGGCCCCTTCCCGAGAAACTTTTCACCGGTTCATGTTTTCTCACACTAAAGGCATAATTGACGAGCAATCTTTCCAAATCTTTAATAGTTCGCCTATGGAAAGACTTTTAATCTCAAGTGAACATTCTAAACGGTCTAAAGGTGCTTAAACATAATGCACTACCATTTATTATTCCACAAACAAGGTTCACCTTAACAAGGAATTATTATAATTCCTAACTTATGCAATTCCAAAGTCATAATTAAATTCACATAACTAGAAAATATAATGTTATGCTAGTGAACAATTATATGTGAAATTCAATATGCTCATATCCAAATAAATTGTACATCATAATAACAATTTAAAATGAGCTATAAAATTATTATTCAAATAACAACATAAATCCAAAACTTGAAGGATTATAAAATTTGAATAAGAATTTATAATAACCATATACTTTTCAATTATTGAAAAGTTTTAGCTTATAGGCCCAATACAAAAAAAAAAAAAAAAAAAAAAAAATCAATGCATATAGTAAACTTTATGAGAACTAGTTTAAAATTGTAAATTCTAACCATATCAAAACCATATGATATGTTGACATTTATGAATTAAATTCTCACAAAACTAAATTGCATAATTTAAACAATAATATTATGCACTTAATTTAACTATATGTGTAAAACAAACTCAAATATATGAATATAAAATCAAATATTCATACTCAATTAAAGTGGGCATCACAAATAATGATAACAGTGTTACGACATATTGATTCCTCAGTTCAAAATCGATAATGGTTATTACATATGGCTGGAGCATAGTCACCGGTAGCGTCAACATCAACCAGGAGCGCAGAAGGAGAGAGACGTCACTGGATGGAAAGGAAGAAAGCAGAACCGGCCGGATCCGATGGAGGAGGCCGGAACAGCATCGCTCGCAACCACCACTGGGAACCGAACTGCACACCGCTCCAACGTTTTCTCTCAACCGCACCTCCGCGACCACCGTCGTCTCCCCGAAGCCAGCGCTAAGGCGCTGCCGTCGCGATTATCCATCATCAGTGCTACTGGCAGCCGCTAGAGAGCAAAGGCGAGGATATGGCAACCCTTATCACCCCATCGCCTGACACTTAATGCCACTCAAAGTCCGGCCAGCATGGCGACAATGGTCGCTGCCTCCCTCCAGCACTCATCAACACCCAAGCAGCGGATAATAGTCAGGCAACAGAACCCGATCGTAAGTATATACATTTTTTAAGCAAAATAAATATATATACGTAAAATATATATTTCTAAAATAAATATATTCAAAATATCAGGTTTTAGAAATATATTCAAAATATCAGGTTCAAAAAACCAACAACCACACACACATCCCAAAAATTTATGCTGTAATATTTTTGTTCCAACGTTCATGGTGAGTTGCAAAAATACATATATGCATATGTACAAATAAAAGCTATATTGCAAGCATTCGCAACATTTGCTACATATATTCAAATTACATATATATTTATTTAAAATATATATCATGAAAATTTCACCAACTAGGCAGAGACTAAACAAGCTCTGATACCAAATGTTAGAAATACACAAATAATACATGTAATCTAACCTTATAGTGGAAGCATATGATCAAGAATCTCCAGCCATAGTTCTAAACCTCGTTGCATTGTTTGAAGAGCAGTAAAGAATTTTAGGATTTTGTCTACCACTTGGTCTCCTGTACAACTAGATGGTGTAGTGTCAAGTCACAGGAGCAGTGGGAGGACCATACACATATATATAACCTACGTGCCATCATTATAGGTTAAGTAACGAAAACCATTACTTCCGTTTCAAACCACAACATTATGGCCATAAATGGACTATTAACTTGCACCACTTAATGGTGACATAATGGAAATGTTACAGCAAAATGATAGTAGCATGGGTAAATTATTGTGTTGTGTGGATTACAGTCTAAAATGTTGTCATTTTGATGTTAAAAAATTATGTGGTTTGTATTTTGTGTTAAAATAATATTATTTTATGTGTTAGAATAATATACTTTATGTACACATTTTTGGATCATAAGGGTGAGTCGAGCAGCTCGAGCTTGGTCAACTCCGAGTTCGAGCCGAACTCGACCTGGTTCGTTTCATAACCAAGTTGAGCGCAAGTTTCAATTTTTGAGTTCGAGCCTACCTATTGTTTATCGAGCTCGAGGTAGGCTCGGCTCGTTCGCACCCCTAGTGGATCACGGTCTACGCAATAATGATTGAGTAGCATGTTTCTTGATTCAGGACTAGACAGACAATAAATGTTGTGGAGACTATGGAAGAAAAGGCAGTATTTGCCAGCCAGCATTAACATTAATTGTTACAATTTAGAAAGTTTAACTAGGTAGTAGGTGTCTGCAATCTGCAATTCATATATTTTGTATATGTGCCCAATTCACTTGGATTGTGGTTGAAACTATAAATGCTTCACAGAAGATTACAGAACATTTTAAAATCAATTCCATATTGCAAAATGCAAAGTGGGGCAAAAATGGTATACCTTTTGCAGTGCAAATTAAAGTGAAGAACAAAGCCAGATCTTACTCTACATTATATTCTGCTGTTACAAAAGAACACTATGAATCAGTTTCTAGAACCTTTTACAACTATGGAGTTAGCAAAAGATAAGATTATAAGAACAAAAGTGTGTGAAAACCAGCATGTTATATTTTGAAGAGTCCCACATTGAAAAAAAAAACATATGTTGGAACTGCGCAGTGTCATATAAGAGAGGGTCAAGGGAGAGTTTGAAACATACTTACCTGGACGGGGTCAATGGGTGATCATGAAGCCCCGTGGCCTAGGCAGGTGACTTCCATTGCACTTTGGAGGGGTACTAGCCTAAGGTCTACCCATGTGGTGGAGCCTACGTCATAATTTGTGGTAGAGGGGGCTTGCGTTCGCGTAGCCCCTCCCAAATTTGTAAATTGAAAATTTTTGTTAGCCCATCAAAAGGTTAAATCTATTGCATTTCCATTCCAATTCACTCTTTAGGTGAAGTTGATAGAGGGATACTTAAATGTGTAGTTAGAATGAGATAATAGATACAAATATTCTAGTGATTCCAGGCATGATTCATAGTGCTGCAGCCAGCTAGAAGATTTTAGAGTTAATTAGTTTTGATTAAGTCATGGGCTACAATTGATTACTGATGACTTTTATAGGACTCGAGATAATGGAAATTTTGAGCAAAATTAATGCCACACAACATCATGAAGCTATTGTTAAAAATGAATAAATGCAGAGTATATGCTAATTAATTTTGCATTAGGGAAAAAAGAACAAAACAGAAAGGAACAAAAGAGCAAAACTGTGGGAGAGCAAGCAAAAATTTGTATTTTAAAGAGTCCCACATTTGAAGAAAACTGACGGTGGAGCTGAACAAAACCTACAAAAGAGGAGTATAATCCCTGCCCCCACCTTGCCCCGTTGACATCCCTATTGAAGGGAATTGAAATGCATACTTATCTGGATGGGGTCAATGGGCGATCGTTTGGCTTAGGTTGGTGACTTCTATTGCACTTGTTAGGAAGGATGCCGGGCTAAGGTGTACCAAAGTGGTGGAGCTTATGTCATAATTTGTGAGAATGGGAGCTTGCGTTCGCGCTGCCCCTTCTAATTCTTTATCAAATTTGCGGCATAATTTATATCATGGACCTTGGTCCATATAGCAGACGACACATACATGTTATATATTAATTTATTTTTCAAATCTGATTTAGGAGCACAGAAAAAAACTCACAAAATAAAACACATGCACCATGGTCCATTGTTTACATCCATTATATAAGGATTGCAAATTTGCCAACACATTCATTGCATCTTCTGCGGTGACACTACACCAAATTGCTCATTTAGCGGCGGTTATAAACCGCCGCGATTGCATTTCCCGACAGTTATTCATTTGTGATTAAATAGTGTGTCGCGAACAATTTAGTCGCGATTTTGACGTCCTCCCACGGCTATCTAGAAAATGCTCCGCAGTGATGAATTGGGAATTCTGAATGGCGTCAACTCTGTTAGGATCAGATACTGATCTCGGGTGTACCCCTCCTCCTTCGCATAAAAATTAAAAGAAAAAAAAAAAAAGATGTACGCAAACGAAGAGTACCAATTGAACACATCATCACTAGATTGATGATTGCAGACCTATTAACTAAAGGCTTTACACCAAAGACATTCAATAAGCATGACGAAAGGATGGTCATTATTGAGAATTGTTAATATTTTGTTTTTTGAGTACCACTGACTCTGATACAATGCAGTATCTGTTCATAGCTACTTTCTCAACCTACTGAAACACAAAGAGTCAATACCGCCTCCATTGTGGCTTGAACCCACAACTAGGGGTGAGCATCGGTCGATTTCGGTCGATTTTCGGTTAATAACCGAAAGAATATTAACCTTCCCATAACCAACCGAAATAACCGATGTCAATCTCATAACCAAACCGACCGAAAACTGAAATTTTCGATCGGTTATGATCAGTTATTTTTAACCGAACTTAATTACCTAAAGGGTTGTCATCTATACTTCTATACCATAAATAAAAGTAAAAATCCTCCTCTTCAACTTTCCCGCCCAAACTAATATTTTTTTTGAAAGCCAACCAATAAATGATTGTATTAATGAAGCAAAGCTGCAATATAGTCAGGAGGGATTGAATCCTATAACATAAACTGGTCCTGAGTAAAAGCTAAAGAAGCTAAAACATGTGCAGATGAATTAACCTGTCTAGAAGCATAACTTAATGAGCAATAAGTAAACGAAGCCACCAACATCCTGCATTGATCTACTGTGACCCCAACATAAGACATTATAGTCATTGACTCCTGGCGCATGGCATTTCGGAGTTGCAAGCAATCGGTAAAAAATGGCCAAACTAATATGAATATTAATTAATTGGTAAAAAAAATAATAAAGCTTAATTACTAACAAAAATTTATATGGAAATTAACTAATATATAATGAATTGTTTTTTTAGTAGAGATATATAATGAATTGTTTTTTGGTAGAGATATATAATGAATTGTTACCACAAATTTTATTAGATATTAGTTAATTTCCATATAAAATTTTATTACCACTTAAGCTTTATTATTTTTTTACCAATTAATTAGTATTCGTATTAGTAGAGATTAGTATACGGTAAGTAATATATTAGAATCTCATTTGTATTACAAAAGTAATAGTATATATTGTTTTAAATTTTATATGCAAAATAACTAATATATTAGAATTTCGTGAGAATTTTCCATATAAAATTTTGTAATATATTAGTCAATATATACTAATATGAATATCTAATGAATTGGTATCACAAATTAAAGTCAATATGTACTTAAAAAAGAAAAATGAAAAATTTCAAAGAATTTTTTTTTTTTCAATTCATTAGATATTAGTTAATTTCTAAATAAAATTTTGTTCCCAATTAAGCTTTATTATTTTTTTTACCAACTAATTAATATTTATATTAGTATAGATGAGTGTACGGTAATTAATATATTAGAATCACATTTGTATTACAGAATTAATAGTATATATTGACTACAATTTCATATGAAAATTAACTAATATATTAGAATTTCGTTGGAATTTTTCATATCATTAATTAACTAATTCTTTTTCAAATTCATTAAAATTCCTACGAAATTCTTTTTCGATATCATTAATTAACTATAGTCGTGGGACAAAATCGAGTATTAACTCAGACATTTTTTTAATGGTTGCTAAGCTATCACAAATACATTTGAATTTTAGTAAATATTCATTAAATGATAAATTTTCTTTGATCAGTATCATAATAGTTTATGCAACAAATGAAACATCTATTTCTCTTTGGATATATGGAAAGTTTTATATTCAATTGATTTCCATACATAGTAAGTAGTACTAGTTTCATCAAGATTGAGCAATTTCTTGCCATCCTCTTTTTTAAAAGTTTATGGTGGTTTGCTTTCCTCGATAGGCTATGAACCAGAGAAAGAACTTGAAATTTCTAAAGAAAATAATTAATTTAGATTAACTTTTTCGTGAAGGTTTTGAATAATGAACAATTTTTTATTTTTTTGTTTATTTTCAATCATGGCGTCATTATTTTCTTTCTCTTCTTCTGGTGTATGTTGGCTCAGATACAATAAAGAAAATAAAAGAAAATTTTGACTACATTCCTTGATAAAATAGAGGTTAGAAACCTTCCTCCCCTCCCCCCTAGATGTTAGAAACCTCATATATATATATATACACACACATGAGAGAAGAGAACAACAAATGGAATTAGAAGGATTATTTGCTATTAATTAGTGATTGGCTATATATTCTTCGATAACTAGTTAAGATTTTGAAGTAATATTTTTATCAAATTTACAGTAAAGGCTTGGCCATGAGAAGTGTTGGAATACTAACACCGGCCAACTCTGCCTTTAGTCATTAAAGTGTTGAAGCTTGTTTCATGATTTATTTATTACTATGTAAAAGACTAAACAACAAAGTCGTTGTAGTATAGTGGTGAGTATTCCCGCCTGTCACGCGGGTGACCCGGGTTCGATCCCCGGCAACGGCGTTTTCAACAGTTTTTGGACTTCTTTCGTTTAATGATAAAAGGAAATATTAACAGACAAAAAATCCGACCTGCCGGATTCGAACCAGCGACCTAAGGATTTCAGCCATCATACTACAGTCCTCCGCTCTACCAACTGAGCTAAGGTCGGATATCTATTGTGAATCCCAACATATATTATTTAGTGATTACAAGTAGGACCAAAACTACCACTACTACTATGGTGACTGGTGAGGGACTTGAAGTGAAAGTCATCGTAGGGAGGTAAGTATCCTATATGACGTCCTTCCATTAAGTGTTAAATATTGTGATTTAGTAGCACCAAGTTGCTCTCCGATATGAGAGGTTGTGGGTTTGAGTGTCAGTGAAGGTCTGGAGGTGGTATTGACTCTTTGTGCTTCAGTAGTTATGAACAGATTATAACTGTATCATTAGTCTATCTATCTATAAATAAAAGTAAAATCCAATCATTAACTTTCCCGCCCAAACTAATATGAATATTAATTAATTAGTAAAAAAATTAATAAATCTTAATTGGTAACAAAATTTTATATAACAATTAACTACTCCGTAATATATATCTATCTATACTATTAATAAAAGTAAAATCATCATTTTTAACTTTTCCGCCCAAACTAATTTGAATACTAATTAATTGGTATAAAAATTAATAAAGCTTATTTGGTAACAAAATTTTATATGAAAATTAACTAATATCTAATGAATTGTTACACTTAAAATGGAAAATAGTTACCAAATTCTGAGAATAATTAAATTATTATAATTTTGAGAATAATGGAAACAAATTCCGCATAATAAATGGGAAAAATATTTTGAAATTCTGCGTAATTTTATAAAGAAATAATAAATTATTAATTATTATTTACATCAATCTATCTATCTACTATCTATCTACTATCTACTATTCTATCTACTATACTAATAAGAGTCAAAGAGAGTTAGGCGTATAATGGGTAGAAAAAATGACGGTTAAATTTTTTAATCAAATGAATGGCTTGGGTTGATCAGATTTTAATTTTTTCTTGAGATTTCCTAATTTATCTTCAATTATATGATTATCCATTAACTTTACCGCTAAATATTATCTTCTCCGTTAACTTACTCATTATTTCAATAAGAAAGGTCTTAGGTTCGAACTCCATCGAATCAAAGTTGACATAATTAGTACTCTATTTTACTCTTAATAAATTACTAGTTTTTCACGCGCATTGCGCGAATGTGATAATGCTCAATGATTAGTTTTAAATAAGTACTTCAAAATATATCAATGCGAGATTATATAGGATATGTTAATGCATAGATATTAGAATGTTGAATTTGTTTATTTAATTCAGTAATTCAAAGTATATAAATGCAAGATAGTATATGAGATATTGATTATAATCGTCGCTAAAATAAATGTTTGCAACTTTGTAATAACGTTAGTCTAAATATTTAGTCTAAAAACGATAGTCTAAAAACGATAGTCTAAATAAATACTACATTTATTTTAAATTTCTCTAAGTCTTCTTAATTCTCTTTTGGGTAGCATTGTCATTGTCTTCATCTTCAGTACTTGTCTTGTTTTTTATTGGTAGTGTGTCATGTGCAATTGGGTTATTGGTGGTAGCATAGAGGACATCGTCATGCAATGAGGTTATGGTGTAGGAAGTTTTAGATTTGTCTTGCTGTGTATATGATTGGGATGTTTTGTTGTACTATGAATTCTTTATCTTGCAAGCACATGTTAATATTTGGTGGTAGTTTTTTTCCCTACATGTTTCATATGTTGTGAGATGTGTGTCGTAGATTATCATGTGAAAGTATTGATGAACAAAATATTAATATTTATTATATTTGTATAAAATACCTGGTAAATAAATATATAACATATATTTAAGTATAACTTTGATATTTAATTACAAGATATTGTAAAAAGAAGTCAATTGACAATGTAGTAAATATAATTAATTAATGCATTTGAAGGTAAAAAATCTTTGAATGGTAAAAAATGAAGATAATATAACTAATGAAATTATATCTCCTTATAAATTTGTTTATAATGAATATATTTTTTTTTAAATAAAGGCATTATAGACATCTAATTCTAAATTAATTAAATGCATATGTATTATTTTTTGTTGTAACTACTAATTTATTTAATTTAATAAGAGTAGTAAAGTGGGGTACTTACTTTTCATCCACACCAATGAAGACATTGATTTTTTTTTCCCTTCGTTGTTGAGACAAATTGTTTTGGGAGTTTGTCAATGACAATTGATTCAATTGCTGTCAATATAAGATGATAATAAATAATTCGAAATATATGGTTACAATAGATATTGTTATAATGATATAGTAAAAATTAACTTACAAATTTCTTTAGAAGTTTTCATGTATTGATAAAATTATGATGTGTAAACTTGTTCAATTGGAGCTAGTAGGATGTTAACATTGTCAATTATTTGGAAAGTGGTCCTACCGTTTTAGAGTCCATGTGTAATTGTATTTATGATCAACAACTTTGTAGTTAGGCCGTGCAGGTATGACAATGATGTAAGAACAACTTTGTCCGATAAAAAAATAATAGTATAATATTTGTAAAGTAATGTACAATTGTACCATTATAAAAAAAATTCGTTTTTTTTTAATTCATGAAATCAAATGATTTTTAAAGTTCCTGATTTATAATCTTTGATGCTCAACTTTGAATGCTATGTATTTAGTCGGGCTAATTATTTGACCAAAAAGTTTACGTTAAATTTTATATTATATATTTTGTTAATACATTTTAACATATTCAAAATATATGTTTAACAGTTATGCCAACTCTAATTGGGATGTGATTCGAACCTAAGACCTTTCTTATATAAATTAATGAGTAGGTTAAAAATAATAAATAGTTAACGGAATATTCTGTTACTAAAATTTATACTAACGGCATCCAAAAAAAAAAAA